GCAAGTTTTTGAAAAACATAGAACATGATTTGTTTACGCGCGTGCAGATGGCAGCATACATGAACTCGGACCGATGACTCTACCGAAGGCAAATGGAAAATAATGTTTTTCTCTTTTGATTATGTTATAAAAGAAATGGTAAACGTTGCAGCTGTGCAACCATGGAGTTATGGATGCACACGGGAGGTTGCTAAGCACGAAAGAAGCGTAAGCACTCAAGAAGCTAGAGTCGCACTCAGCTATCGGCTCGTGCCACTCTTACGCTTCTTTCGTGCTTAGCAACCTCCCGCGTGCATCCATAACTCCATGGTTGCACGCTGCACGTTTACCATTTCGTAAATAGTGCTCTTTTAAACAATTTTTTAGTTGTCTTTTCACGTACAGATAAGGGAATACCATAAAATTCCGAAAATAAGCCCCTCCATGTATAAGCCCCCCAATCCGGTAACGCAAAAAACCCTCCGTTAAATCGCCCCTCCAAATATAAGCCCCCCGGGGGCTAGTACTCGGAAAATTGCCCTCGAATACAAAGTAAAACAAAGCAAAAACGGTAAATTTACTTCCAACTATATGGTTAGCCCAATCGATTTTGAAACGTCGTGGTCGTTTCTATTTTCCTTTTGTTATTTTTCTTCTCCAAAAAACAAAGGGTTAAAAATGTACAGATCTCACTCTGACTGGTGAGTAAGAGGATTTCTTTAAGAAAAGAAGAAGAAAACACTACATCCGTGAAATACAAAATAGACATACCATGACCACGGTCGGCCTCTTTTTCCCGCGCTTTAGCCAGAAAGGCAGTTCTGTAGCAGCTATTCAAAGGTCTACTGTGATTGGCTGACATGGTGTGAAAGGTTGCGAGGGTTTCAATCCAATCATATGGTGTCACGGGTGTCACGAGGAACATTTGTCCCGCTTGGTCATGTCACCTCAGGCATGCCGTTCTTTCATTTTCGCCCGTGTGGAGAGCGCTTTGGGGATTTGTACATACCGTATATTGCTTTCGTTTAAATTTTTTGGACGTGGAGAGAACCCTGTGTTATTCTACAGTTCCTTTAGTCTTCTCCCTGGAATATTGTTCTGCTAAATGGTAAGTTAATCGACCGTGTTATGATGGATCTCGACGTTATTATTTTAACTACCGGTAACAGATCTCGCTGTTAATTCAACTTTAAATTCTTGCACTGCGTATATGGATCGACACTCACACATCAAGGATAATTAATAACGAAAAATCCTTTCAATTTCCTGAAAATATTCCAAAAAGGCACTTAAATGTGTGAATTTTGTGATTTACGGTCATTTCGTTTGTAGCAGGAACGAAACGTTTTTCTTCTCGATAAAGTTCATTTAACAAATTTAGAAACATTTACTTGGCTTTTTGTGGCTATTTTGTGGAACGATCTGACTATTGATTGGAACGATCTGACCATGGAACGTTTCGTTCCATGGTTATCGTTATACGCAATAACCTTTTGTCAAAAGTTTCACACAATGAAAATCGAGAACTTTGACCATCACAATTGGAGTGATTGTTTTTCCTTAAAACCTATTTTTCTTTGCCAAGCTAGACAGGTTCTTATATCTTTGGGTAGTTAAATGCCAAATTTCAGCCTGTGGGTTCTTAAATCACTAGGTTCTTATATGCGAGTTTTACGAGTTGCTGTTGATCAGTTCGAGCGAGTGATAATGGACGAGAAGAAACATAAAAACAAATCAACCAACCCGGCTTCAATCATTTTATGAAATAGAGGAAATCGATCATTTAATTACAGAAATCGATAGAATCACAAAACGTAGACCTATCGATTACTATGGATTTTCATCGAGTAGATATCGATTAGTTACCCCCTGGTCCAAAGTCGCAGATTCGGCGAAGTTGTATTTAATGTGTATTATCTTAATTGCAGAGTAAATGAGGGCAATCTTGCTGTCCTGGATGCAAGAAGTCATTCAACAACCGTTGTAAGCCAGAGAAGTGTGACCAGTGCAATTGTTACCTTGGAGGAGATTTTGTCCTCAGAGAAAAAAAGCAAAAATTAAATGCTCCCAAGAGTGTGTTACTGTTTAGTAGAGATGATTGTTCTTTTTAATCTGTAAAAACACACTCCAAGGATTCTAGATGCCTTGTAATTGTAGACTCGTTTCGAAACGTAAAGCAGTGTTTGGCTCAGAAATGCAAGGAGGTCAGAGCTGCATATGTGAACAGCAGCAATGCTGAATTCTTTTCCTGTGAACACACAGCTCTGTGCGACAAGGCAGTACCCCCAATAAAGGTATACAGTTTAACGGATGGATTAATCAATAGTTACCCTTGTGATCAAGCCACCAAAGCTGCCCTTAATCAATAAGAATAAAGAAAGAAGGAAATTAACACTTGAAGGAGTCAAACACTGGCCCTGCTGTTTTTCAGGTTTCTTCAGTGTCATTTTGTGTGAATGGTGTGGCAACGGCATCAAATTCCGTTGGATTTTGCCACATCAAAAACACAGATTCCAAGTTTGTGGGTACCTCTTCAGACTGTGCTCGCTTCGCAAGCAAGACAAAAGCAGCCAAGCATAAAAAAATATGCATGCAACAGCATATGTTGCTATGTATTTTGCAGTCCCCTGGTGAACCTGTAACTGCTTCTGGTTGACCCAATGAAACGGCCCCTTTCACCAGTCCATCTGCGTCTTCTTCTGGTTCTTCGAATGAAACAGTCACCTTCTCCAGTCCATCTGCGGCTTCTTCCAGTTCTTCAAATGAAATAGTCACCTTCTCCAGTCCATCTGAGGCTTCTTCCAGTTCTTCAAATGAAATAGTCACCTTCTCCAGTCCATCGGCGGCTTCTTCTGGTTCTTCGAATGAAACAGCTTTTACTGCAACTTCTCAAGATTCGGAGGTGGCTGGGCGACAGGCAATTCTGCAACTCAAGATGCAGCTGTCATTTTCTTATGACATTCCAAAGGGAATTTTACAAAATATATTGCGTATAAATAAAAATTACTAAAACAGAGGAATTAGCTATTAGCCAATCAGAGGAGACCTTAGGCAAGCTACTACATCACTCCAGAATGGGCCCAAAACAAGTCCGCACGGAAGGCCAGAAAATGGCGGGCAAAAATGCGCTGGACGCTAAAAATTTGCTACTTACAGGCACTTAGGAGACACGGACGACCTGTACTCCTAGTTACGCAGCCATGGCCGAAGGTGGAAGAGGTACGACAAATACGAGTCTTAATTAGTTGTCTTATGTAATTTTTATTTCTGTTCAAATATCCCATTATTTTTACATTAATTTTTTTATCCCCTCATATAATTTATGTACTTCCGCATTTTAAACGGGCAAGTCTGAGCATGTTCATTTTCCAACAGAAGTGGCAGGTGATACCTTCAACGCACTGCACATTGCGGAGGGTAACCTTTCTGTGAACTTTGCCGCCCACCTGAGCTCTACATCTGGCGCCAACGATTACCAGAGGGCAGAGAAGATGTATCTCGAGTCGTTGGCCCCAGGGACGGTAAGTCCTTGAATACACTTTTCAAAAGTCCTAAATTTGAAAAACTCATACCCCCTGCGACCTTCAAACAATTTTTTTCATAAGCTAAACCCTTCATCTTTGGAAATAATGAAAAATGATCATTAATATGGGCACATAATCTATGCCCGCAATTTTCTTCAAACGGGACTCAAATGAAAAACCAGTTGAGCGTTCCCACTAATTTTTTTATTGAAAATATGCCGTTTAACATCGGTATTTCTCTCTTTCCTTTTTCAGCTCAAAAGCATTATAGATGCACGGAGGCTGTATTTACAGTGGTTTCCCCTTCAACATCCGGGGACAGAGGTACAGTTTCCTTTAAAGGAAATGGATATTAAGGCATTCTCTGTGTGCCTCTGCAGAGCGGGATTTACTTTCTCGCGAATTATTAACAACATATACCGAGGACTTTGCATGTGGGTAAGTGTTCATCTCAGTAATAAAAGTAGTGGTATTAATAATTCTTATCAATCAACAAGAAGTGTAAAAAGTACATTGTAGTAGACGCAACTGCAAACTTGTGGGACATTTGTAATCTTCTATTTACGACAAATGGTCTTGCCTCCATTCATTTTGGAAAACGTTGAGTAGGCCTCTTTTCCAAGGACCGAGAGGTGGACAGGCGGACTACATTAAGGAACAAACAGATATTAGTGATAAAAAAGTAATGTGTTGGCATGGTACAAAAATTCCGAGTACATAAAGGGACATGACAGGACACTCTTTTTTTTTGTTGCAGCAAACCTCAAATAATCACCCCAGCCCTGCCAAACAATTCCCAGAGCTAGGAGCAACCCTTGTGAAATTTGTGAGGAAGGAAGTTGGAGATCAAGCCATCCCTCCAAAAGTTCCCATGTTCCAACAGGACATGGAACATATTTTGGATTGCGTTGGCATAAAGACCCAAAGTGATCTCCAACGTGAGTAGACAACTAACTGTAACTATACTGAAATGCTCGGTACATGAAATAGTGTTGATATCCTGGTCAAATCTTGAGTTACGGATTCCTTCATATTAATAGTCGCATAGGTTCCATTTCAAAGGTCACAGAATAAATTTAGACACCGTAAGAACACACTGTGTACTAAAGCGAGGCTGCTGACTTATTGAAGGAACTTATTTAATATTTTTTCCCACCTTTATTGTGAGGTCTTTAGGTGGTGAATTGAGTAACCTAAGAGAAAACATAAAATTTAACACAAGGAGATGCAACTGCAATAAAAGGAGAGGAGACAATACCAAATAGTACAAAATAATAATCACCAAATCACATCTCACCACTTTTCTTGTTATGTGGTCAAAATAGCTGAAGCTTATATGTGCCTCTTATATAGTTTCTTTCTTACTTAGCATGTCCGCATTTTGCGGAGCAAGGGCAAGCTCTATTGTTGCGCCACTTGTGGCAAAAGAAATTGCCACTGCACGAAACAACCTTGAACTGGGTGACTACCCAGATCCTGAAGAGATCAAAGTCGGAGGTAAGATGGATTTGATTATTGTGTAATTATTCATACAGCAGTCTTGACTGCAACTATTTCATCATGATACTTCTGATGCAGAGTAGTTTCTGATTCATATTTATAATTTACACTACTTTTTAAGGCCATTTCCACTCAAATTTCTTCACAGGGTGCAAAGAAAGTCTCTTTCACAGCTTGCAGGCAAGCTGTAGCTAGCATGTATTTGCCCAAAAGACATTTCATCTTGCCCCAAAAACGTTTTGATGAGCAAGATTTTGTACACATTTATTACACCAAAAGCAAAATCCACCAAGATGAGGAGGCAGAAGAGGCACGTACGAAAGCTGCCACTGGGACTCGCTCTGTAGGTAGGAAAAGAAAGCCAACCGCCAATTCATCCAGTGGGAGACCCAAGAAGGCTAAGAACAGCCAAGCTCAAGACACACCTACAGGTGATAATGTAATCTGAAGTTAGTTACAAAACGTAAAATTTGACCGAACGACCTTCCATACATTGCCTCTTAGCTTTTGTATTTACGCTCGTAAAATTTACGCGCAAGAATAAAAAACTATTATTACTATCACATTTAAAAACTATTTAGAATTTTAAAGAATTTTTCAGTCTATCAATAACATTTCCAACTAAAGCTTTTCTAGACGGACCATTGTAAAGGTTACTATTATTAATCATTTAATCATAACTATAACAAAATTGTCAAATCTGATTGGCTATCAACTGCCCTGATTTACCTTAAATGTACAGTTTAATAGGACAGTACGCGCCATCACGCGCGCGCTTAAATGGTTTTTTTTTTCACTGCTAGCAAAAAACAAATCACAAGATTTCTTGTGATTTGATTTAAAAAAGAGCTTACTATATCACAAATTTTGTTAAAGATGTGTTTGCTGAGTTCAGTAGATTTCCTAGAGTATGCATGTATGTATGTATGGTATTACTCCAACAATCATACCTGGTTGAGGAATAAGCAAATTAGTAACAAAGAAAGATGTGTCTACCAAAGAGTTTGCTGCAGCCGGATAAATAGATATTTACCATTTGAGAATAGAAGATACCTCAGCAAATCTCGACCTTATTAGGGAGATGACTCAGCCGATGCTTCAACAACCCCGTGAAGGGCATTACCCTGGCCAGTCAACGATCAGTTTTCTTCCAGTGATAGACTTGGAACCCACTGATATGACGTGGGTATATTCCACAATTTCATTATGTGGACACGCAAGGCATTACAGCGTGACACCAATATTGCAACATTTGATGAGCCCCTTTGGTGGAAGGAAATGATCATCATCACAAATGAACATTCTAGTTAATGTGAATAACATATGACGAATACCAGTAGCACGTGGCCCGTGGTTTCATTGCTATATCCAAACAACATTTCAGTTTTCCGCAGCTCTAAGAAGGGGGAATTGTGGCCACTGTACTTTGTTATCAATGAACTATCCCCCAGAATAAGGTAAACAAATAAAATGATATTTCAAGACAAGATGACCGTGATGACTGGCTCAGTTTTGTCAATGGTGGATTTTTACCATTGGATTTAGCGCTTTGCCAAAGCCTTACCCAAGCACTTTTCAACTACTTCCAATTGAATTTAAAATATGTATTTATTATTCATTATACTTACATAACAAACAAATGAAAAATTCTTTGTGTATGACTCTCGTAGGATGTCCCCCAAAAATATGTTGACGTGTGGGTTATGGTGCGCACCTGGTAAACCAAATATGCAGGTGTACCTGAAAAAACTTGTGGACGAAATAAACAATATTTATGAACGCGGTTACTATTTTTATATCTAGGGTAATGCACTCATTTCCTCTCAGTTCAAGCGCCATGGAAACACTAGCTTAGTCGGACTGAATTGTTCCAGGAAGTGTCATGCTCAAATTTTCAAGCAGTTAAACCGTATGGTGTTTTTCTAGTGGATGGGGAGATGAAGATAAAGGAAGGTGTGGTCTGAAATGCTTAATATCATAAACGTGCACACCAGGAGCTGGGATATCACTCTCTGCTATTGATTAGGCGAATATGAATTGTTTTCAGCCGTTTATTTATTTGTTATTGTTCATTCAAGGATTCCACTTCACTACAAGTAGTGGTACACAGGTTTGCAGTGCAATGCTCATGCTATCGCCAGACGATCTACCAGTGCAGGCAAAGGTTTACCAAGACAGCATTTCACCCAGCTGGTAATGACGAGAAGGGCAGCCGAGAAATGACCTCTGGCCACCACCTGAGGGAATGGCTGAGCCTATATCAGATGATAGGGATCTCTTGGAGAAGATGCAACACAAGATGCAATAATGGAGGGTCATTTGCTTTTAGACAACCGAGTTGCACTGCACAGATGTTTTTGGTTACTGCTTGAGAACTCCTGGTCATCCCAAGCAAGGATTGCAGCCAAGAGAACGTGTATGTCGCATAGAGTTTTGAAACGAGTTCCACCCAGGGAAAAAACTGCACCATGTTCCAGAAATTGTGGAAGATCATAATGGAGCTCTCCAACTCTAGATGCCACGTGACCATTCACCTGTGGTTCAGCACTTTCGATATCAAAATAATCGATATCAAAATAATACAATCTTGGAAGGCAAATAGTAATGTGACCTTAATTGTTTACAATTCCCCTCTGGACAATCCTAGCACAGATTATATTATAGCCATAGATGATTATGTGTGTGGATATGCTTGCAAGGATAGCAAACCCACTGGTGCAACTGCGTATCTCTTTAAGAACATGGTGAATGCTGTTGATGCAGACAAGGTGACAGGCAAGTCATTGTCTGCTAAGATGCTGATAGCACTGACTATAGGATTCTGCTTGTTACACTGGCCAAGCTGGTTTGACATCCAAGAAGTGAAGGGGGATGCTGAATCTTGGATTGACCGATTTGTGGACTTTCTTTCCACTGATGAGTGTAACCATCGTTTTACAGTCTAAAAACAATAGCTACACTTGCAAATTACAGTTGTGAAAAATTCATAAAACTGACCCTGAAACCAGACTCCAAACTAGACTAAAGTGAGGTGACCCTAGCATCAATCGTCTGGACAAAGTCGCCAAACAACACCACACAGACTATGACAAATCTATGAAGTTACAAGATAAATAGATAGCAGGTAAAAAAGTAGGAAAAAAAGGACCGAAAACATTGTAGAAACCACCACGAAAGTCACAATTCATGTGTAAGATTTAAAAGGAAGTTTGGTTGGGGCTGTGCTGCTGAAACTCTTCGATTATGACTCTGTTTAAGGCAAAATACATTAAAATTGCAATCTTGTTTAGGACGCTAAATAGTGAGACTGAATACTTTTTTTAAGATCGAAGATCCCATAAACCTATTCTTGACTTGCTCGTGATGTCATAGCATATTCCATATTTGGGGGCCACCATGTTGGTGGACGGGTACTTACAGAAAACATGGAGTGGGACTTCAAAGAAACGAATGAAAAGGACGGCAGTTCTCAATCTACGTCTCAAGATCTCATCCAAAACTCACAAAACATCAAGCAATCTTTCCCAGCACTATCAGAGTATTATAACAGTTTAGAACCTCATGTAAAACGGCGATATTTAGAAAAAATATCAGTGGTTGGGCTCGATCCTGGAACACGTCTATACGCAAGGCTTGACCCGGAACGTTTGCTGCCAATTGAGGCTATGGATCTATTCAGTTATCTTGTTACGGACACCAGCTTTTATACCAAAGAGCAGTTTAAGGCTTCTAAAAGCCTGGAATCGTTAAATTTTTTGGTATCCGGTTTTATTACAAATGCTCAAGGAGTCAAATATTGGACAAATATGTCGTGACTGGAAAGGTTCGACATAATCAGAGAATGAACAATCCTTTGCTGCCCATCTGAATGATTTCTTCAAATGAAGGAACCGTTTTGTCGGCTCATTGCATGGGCTGCAAAGCTGGCCTGGCTGAAACTTGTTTTTATGTTGCAGGTGTATTATTTTACACTGAAGCCTGGCCAAGGCCAATTTGCACACAAATGAAGTACTCATGGATTATCCCTTCACACGTGTAGGAAGTGCCTTATGCCCCCATCAGTGAAATAAATTTTAAATCTGCTCGTAGGCTCAAACAAGATCTCGATCATGCTATTAACTCCAACCCAAGCACTGCAACAAACACTTGTATGCCACCCAGGGCATACAAGTTATAACTCATAACAATGATAGCAAAGTTCCTGGGATTTCTCCAACCGATGAAGAAATGGAAATTTTGAATTTCATGCACCCTCATGCAGATCAGTTAATCTTCAAAGCCAGCAATATTCCTACAGTTCCTGATCTCTTTTCCTCAGATAACCTTGAGCTTTTCTATCCTGACCCGTTAAAAAAGTGCAATGAAGTGGAACTAAAAATAACACCTGAGAGGAAACAAGGGAGCAATGTAAAGCAGCAAGTTTTTTCAAACACAGAACTGGGCGAATTGGAGCATGTGTGAGTGGTGAAGTGGCTCATTCAAATCCTTTACAACCTTCTCAGTCATTAATTAAGTCAATTTGCTACCCTTGCCTTTTCAGTGCGACCACTAAAGCAACCGCCTCTGGTATTAAGTATGAAAGCGAGGCAATTAGAGCTTATGCTGAAGAAATGAAGGTGAAACATATCAACTTCAAGGTCACAACTAAAAGGTATTGTTGCAGTTATTGTTGACTTTAATCTTGACAGACTGAAACGCTACCAACGCAGAGGCAAATTATTCAGCGATCTGGAGGCAGAACATGGACTCGAATGTTTGATCATCAAACCAACAAGAATTGCCAAAAAACGCACAATATTAACTAGTACCTTAATTGATGTGCTTTTGACTAATCGACCTGATCTCTTTAAGACGTGTGGTGTTTACAATGCGGCTCTAACCAATAATATGTTAGTATACGGTTTGAAGAAGGAGAAAGTTAATCGCAATTCTAAAAAGGTCATCACCTTCAGGAGTTACAAGAACTGTGCTTTGGATAAGTTTCTTTTGTCACCCACTTAACGTTTGATTGTCACACTTGAATCATGAAAGTACTGCAGAAGTGTCAAAGTAAACAAGTTCGATTTACCATAGTTGTGTTTAGTCAAGTGTGACGAAGGTAGATTTGCAAGTTCTGTGTTTTCAAGTTGGCGGAAGCCGTAAGATATGTGAAGTTCAAGTGAGAGTTTGTTATTATTGGTAGAGGCTGTTTAGTTTTACCCTGGTTTTACTTAAGTGCAAGTCAAGTTTGTGTTGGCGGATGCTGTGTTTTACAGCTCTGTAAAGGCTATGTTCCTTTGGTATTAAACTGCCTTGTGTTAATCCGACATCCCTACGTGCTGATAGTCAGTGAATAATTATCCTCAAAACATTCGAACTCGTAGCATTGAGTTTTAGCCAATTCCATGCTCAACGAAATTGACTCCTTACCCTGCCTTACATATCTTTAATCAGTACATGAGACTGCTATGCTGTTTTTGAAGCCTGATGTGACTAAGAAAAAAAGAGAATTCTTTTTTGACTGTTTGTTTTGTTAGACTTGTTATTCACAGCCAGTAACGTCATATTTGGCTTAGGTCTAAACGTTTAGACCCAAGTCAAATTTAGAATGATTTGTATGGAGTCATCAGGGCATAAGTGGGCTAATATCTCAGAAACAATTTGTCCCAAACTGCTAGTTTCTGGCAAGTAGGCCTCTTGGATGTTGCTCTTTTCGGAATATCCTGACAAATCCCATAATTTCACAAATTAACACCTTACTCTTACCGTATTTCATTTCTTACTAGTCTTTCGCATTTACAATTAGTCAGTTCCACAACCACGACGCCGAAGTGTACGCTCCGTAGCGTCTTGTTACATCTGCAAAAGGCCAGACTTTCTAGTCTTCTCGGATAAGGACGAAAAACCGCAAGTTCCTTCTTACAGACAGCACTTTTACTGATCTAATCTTGTGGGAGGTAAAAGAACCCATTCACAAAAGCTGTTAACAAAAAACTTTTCGTTCGATCAAAATTTGTCTGTTCAATTTTCTCCGACAACACGTTTGCCAGTCAATTTTGTGTACAAATGAGTTACTGTGAATTAAATGTTCCAGTTGCATTTAGTCATACGCTACGTTAAACAGCCAAAACACATAACAAATACAGATGATAAAAACAAAAGTTACAAACAATAGGGAAAGCCAAAGCCCCTGAAGTGGGCGATTCAGTTCTAATAACCACAGGCATTTCCATTAAAGTGGTCCTATCCTAAGTGTCCTTGGTACCAAGACTTTGACCCTCCCCGCCCAGGACAATGGGTGACCGTCTGCGCCTCCCACTGAGCTCTGCAATTATCATGAGAATCATTCTAAGCAGAGGCCTAATTCAGCTGGGTACGGCAAATTAAGAACAAGGCACTTGCCAGTCAAAGCCTCCACTAAACACTGCTGCTTACTGAAGGGCTTGTGTCAAAAAAGATCCCTCCCTACTCCACTAGTTTTGACCCCCAGGCCTGATCCACCCACCAACTGTTAAGGCAGTCCCTGGGCTATCCAGCTGTACCAACCAAGACGACAAACCCCCTACTTTTCTGGACACCGGACTGGCCTGGAGACGGGCTGCGCCCGGCGCCAGGCAAAAACCTAGTGGCCAAGTGTTGACGAAATCAGACAGATATATGAGAGAGGAAAAAGCAAAGCACACATAAAAATATAGAACATTCGAGGGTCGGTGTGGTGATGATTAAGACTGAACAAGATAATAGTAATTTATAACATAACAAAAGTAAATCGCGCGCTCTGATTGGTCAGTTAGGCACTACCATTTGCCCCTGTGTGCACGCCAAGAAACTGATCTAGCGCGGTAAAATTTAGGCAAATTCAACAAATCTCCTCTCCTGACGGTAAAATACACCCATGAAATGCACAGATGAAAAGTGGAAGTTGAAGAAAATACTAAGCTGTCGTTTTGAAGGAAAAAAGACAAAAGATCAAGCGACAAATTTGCCCTGGATGAATTAATCACTGTTTTCCTCGCGGCTAGAATCGGCTGAAGGAAAATCGCGCGAGCGAAGATTTAAGGTACATTTTGTGTGTTTTTTATGGAAAGGAAAGTCTGTTTGAAATGTAAATTTATCAATTAGCATTGTGTTATTGACTTTTTGGTCAAGCTGATGCTGAATTCAAGCAAGTATTTTAGGAAACACGCTCAAATTCGAGAAACAGAGTACAGAAAAATTTGGGTTTTCAAATAAATTTTTCAAAAAATAACTTTTGTGTGTATTATTTTGTTCCTCAGTGTTCATTCATAACAATCATTCAGGGAACAGTCGAAAAACAACAGCTTCAGCGCCGGCTGTGTGTCGGCGAATTTCAGTTGACTTTCATAGCTGCATTTCCCCAGACAGATTTCGATACCAAGCTAGTAAATTTCTTTTTAAAATTAGTGTTACCTGTTATTCTAAAGCAATTACAGTCAAACTTTCTCATTTCTACTTAATGTTTATTTCAAAAATTGTCACATAAACTAAGCTTGATAATTATTTTATTTATTTAGTTTTAGCTTATTTTTAGAGTCTTTTTAGTTGGTGTTTATAGTTGCAGCTATAGTTTTCCCTAAAAGTTTTTAGCCTAATATTAAGAGCAAGTAGACAGATGCCATTCACAATAACGACAAAAAACGTTTTGCAATTTACCTGAAGACGGAGAACGGTTGATTCAGCGAAAGAAAAACTCAAAGGAAAGTTTTTGAAAAACATAGAACATGATTTGTTTAAGCGCGGGCAGATGGCAGCAAAAAAACGTTTTGCAATTTACCTGAAGACGGAGAACGGTTGATTCAGCGAAAGAAGAACTCAAAGGCAAGTTTTTGAAAAACATAGAACATGATTTGTTTACGCGCGTGCAGATGGCAGCATACATGAGCTCGGACCGATGACCCTACCGAAGGCAAATGGAAAATAATGTTTTTGTCTTTTGATTATGTTATAAAAGAAATGGTAAACGTTGCAGCTGTGCAACCGTGGAGTTATCGATGCACGCGGGAGGTTGCTAAGCACGAAAGAAGCGTAAGCACTCAAGAAGCTAGCGTCGCACTCAGCTATCGGCTCGTGCCACTCTTACGCTTCTTTCGTGCTTAGCAACCTCCCGCGTGCATCCATAACTCCATGGTTGCACGCTGCACGTTTACCATTTCGTAAATAGTGCTCTTTTAAACAATTTTTTAGTTGTCTTTTCACGTATAGATAAGGGAATACCATAAAATTCCGAAAATAAGCCCCTTCATGTATAAGCCCCTCCAAATATAAGCCCCCCAATCCGGTAACGCAAAAAACCCTCCGTTAAATCGCCCCTCCAAATATAAGCCCCCCGGGTGCTTGTACTCGGAATATTGCCCTCGAATACAAAGTAAAACAAAGCAAAAACGGTAAATTTACTTCCAACTATATGGTTAGCCCAATCGATTTTGAAACGTCGTGGTCGTTTCTATTTTCCTTTTGTTATTTTTCTTCTTCAAAAAACAAAGGGTTAAAAATGTACAGATCTCACTCTGACTGGTGAGTAAGAGGATTTCTTTAAGAAAAGAAGAAGAAAACACTACATCCGTGAAATACAAAATAGACATACCATGACCACGGTCGGCCTCTTTTTCCCGCGCTTTAGCCAGAAAGGCAGTTCTGTAGCAGCTATTCAAAGGTCTACTGTGATTGGCTGACATGGTGTGAAAGGTTGCGAGGGTTTCAATCCAATCATATGGTGTCACGGGTGTCACGAGGAACATTTGTCCCGCTTGGTCATGTCACCTCAGGCATGCCGTTCTTTCATTTTCGCCCGTGTGGAGAGCGCTTTGGGGATTTGTTCATACCGTATATTGCTTTCGTTTAAATTTTTTGGACGTGGAGAGAACCCTGTGTTATTCTATAGTTCCTTTAGTCTTCTCCCTGGAATATTGTTCTGCTAAATGGTAAGTTAATCGACCGTGTTATGATGGATCTCGACGTTATTATTTTAACTACCGGTAACAGATGTCGCTGTTAATTCAACTTTAAATTCTTGCACTGTGTATATGGATCGACACTCACACATCAAGGATAATTAATAACGAAAAATCCTTTCAATTTCCTGAAAATATTCCAAAAAGGCACTTAAATGTGTGAATTTTGTGATTTACGGTCATTTCGTTTGTAGCAGGAACGAAACGTTTTTCTTCTCGATAAAGT